ACATGTATAATTTTGTATATATGTAAGATCTCCGCACTACTTAATTAACAATATATACTCAACTGTATTTTGCTTCAAATGATCTTTGTGATGGAGCAATCGCAGGAGTCTATATATATATATGGTTAAGTCGGTGGCCAGATGTCATGCTATATTGATTATTAATTATCAATTGATTGCTGGTCGCTACTGAGTAATAAACTGGTTTTCAACTGGTAAAAAATGGTCTATAGAATTATTTACAAAAAAACTTCTATAGAATTCTATTAAAAAAATCTATAGAATTTCTATAGGCCATTCTATAGAATGTTTTATAGAGATTCTATAGAGGTCCGTTATAAATTTCTATAGAATTTGTATAGAAAAGTGGCCCACTTTTCTATAGAATCTCTATAAAACATTTCTATAGAATTCTTTACAAAAAAATTCTATAGAATTCTATAAAAAAATTCTATAGAATTTCTATAGGCCATTCTATAGAATGTTTTATAGAGATTCTATAGAGGTCCGTTAAAGATTTCTATAGAATTCGTATAGAAAAGTGGCCCACTTTTCTATAGAATCTCTATAAAACATTTCTATAGAAATGCGTATAGAAATTCTATATGATGATATCACGCAGTAAGTAATACGCTAAGGCTCCGCAGGGGGCATGACGTCTCCGCCAGCCTTTGTATTCTATTGTTTTTTAATGAGATCGCCGACCGAAGTTGGTGCAGCTATCTCCTCCTGAACCCTCCCCTCGGGGTCCCGGTGACCGGTGCCATCGTCCGCGGGAGAGTCTACTCTGTGAAATTGGCTATACACCGCCCCAGGTCCTCCTCCTTGTCGACGTCCAGGGCGAAAACAGACGCGACATGCATAATGCAGGATATGCGTGACGACAGAGATACCTCATGGATATTCAACATAACAACGGTAGACACACGACCGATGACCAATCCACTCACATTAAGTTGCGTATTAAATGCACGATGCACAGGGTCGGGATTACCCGAGTAAAGCATCTTTCTATAGGATATCCTTTATGCACAAGCCACAGACATACACGGCTTCCCGTCCACGTCCAAACTTAGAGACCTATTTCCATCATGATTGCCGCGATTTTTATATAGTTTTCGTGAATGGAGGTATGAAATCAAAGCTTATTTTGTGATTATTACGGCCGTGTTTACTAAATTTTAATTATCATTTCTTAAAGGAAAGTTTTGACAAGAAAATCATTGGACTGACAGTTCAGTCGCAAGCTGCCTTCAATCAACACACATACATTACACACAGTGCAGTGTAACTCCGGGAAGCTCCAACACCGGCGCGGCACGCCTGCGGCGCCGGTGAAGCTTCCCGGAGTTAAGTGCAGTGCTGCTGCTGTCGCGCGGCGTGGACTTTGACTGATTGTAGAGTCGAAAAGTATGGGGGGCCAAGCAGGCCAATATTTGTACCACTATACAACTAAAAATATAGGCGTAGGGTCCACGGGTTTCAAGGGGCCATAAACCCCCAAAAGCCCTGGGGGTTACGTTCTTCAAAGTTGCGGGGGGGGGGGGGGGGGGGGAGAGGGGGGTTTTAGGCGTTTAATTAGGGTCAGATGAGCATATTTTTAATACTTTATTTGTGACACTTGCGGGTCACTAATTGGCGTGGGGTCAATACGTAGAGTTGCGTAGTGTTGCGTACCAACTACGCTGGCCTACATTACTATATGCTGAGGGACGGAAAGGGGTACGCAAGATGAACGAAAACAATTCAACATGTTTAATTTTTTTCACGTACTTTTGGCGTAGAAACTTGACGCAGAAAGTACGCCTTTTTACGCAACACTATGCAACAGTACGCTACCCTACGCCAGATCGACAAAGCAGTAAAAAGCTTTCCACACAGTAAGCAACCATAAGCAAACCTGTACGCCAGCCTACACATAACCTACGCAGGGACTATTTTCCCATTAATACGCAGCCTAATTTCTGCGTAGTCGGTACGCCACACTACGGAACTCTACGCAGTTCCAGTGGCTTAAAGAATAACTACCGGTACAGTTGGATCGTTTTTTAATTTTTTTTATATAAGGCCAAATTTTAAAAAAAACATGTTTAGCGTCCTATTTTTTTGAAAAATGGGAAGGAGGAGGCCCTTTTTTTTTTTTTTTTTTTCTTTCAAAATGGCCGCTCCGTACATTTTCCCTGACATTCGGGCTATTTTTCAAGATGGCGGCCGACAATTTTTTTTTTCTTTTTTAAAATCAGAAATACATTTTAGCAGTGCTTTTCATTTTTTTTTCTTTCAAAAAATAAAAATAAATAAATAAAACATAAAAAATAAAAAAAATAAAAAATAGGAGGCGGCCCCCAAAAAGGAAGCAGGTGGGGACGCTGTTTTTTTTTTCTTTCAAAAAAAAAAATATTCAAAAAAATTCAAAAAAAAAAAAATAGGAGGCGGCCCCCAGAAAGGAAGCGGGCGGGGACGCTAAACATGTATATTTTTTTAATGGCCTGAATGGCAAATAAAGTTCTTGGTGGTTTTAATTTAGACAGTCTCTATATATCTATTTACACCCCCCCCCCCCTGCCCCCCTCTAGAATCCCGCGGATTTCCGCGGGTCCTGCTAGTCTATAATAATAATAATAATACGAGAAGCTCCATGGGTCCGATTGTGGGCGGTCCGATGACGTATTTCGCGTTGAAACGCGTCGATCTGCGTCACTTAACGAGGGTCCGGGCTCGATGTCGGGAGAGCCATCTCCTCCCGGACGACGGGTCGAGGGGGGACGGGACCCGACCCGAGGGACGAGGAATTCTTTTCTACATGGAAACGGCCGGGTTTTTACCCATTCTGTCCCGCCATCGACCAGGAAATCGTAAAAAAACGATGTGACACGCTCATGAATATTATGCATGACCTGTTGCATGCATGCATGAGCCTCAAACTGTTTCAATCCATTGCCCCTAAAAAATTGTTTTTATTCTAATTTGATATTATTCTAACAAAAAATATTCAACAAATTTCGAATGTGTTTTTATTCTGTTCATACAGTCAATAACAATTTGATAAAATGGAGATATACAATCACGCAAAAGCAACGACCTAGCTTATACTTTTGAGCAGCACAGTCCGACCTCGATCTATGAATTATTGTCTGCCAAAATCAGAAATAAACATTTTGTGTTTGATTTTTTAGCAAATACATGATATGATAATAAAAAAAATTGGTAATATATTTTTACAATCCTGATTAGATTTATATTGAATATACGCAAAAAGTAACAAAAAAAGTTTCAATAGTGTAAATGGCAACCGATCAAAGGTAGGTACGTACGTACCATCTCTATGGTACGTACGTAGTACATGCATGGACTTCGGCTGTTCTGTACATGCATTGTTCTAATTAATAACAAGTGTGTGCGGGGTACGTACATGATAATGCTCAACATGACACACAAAAAGCGCTATTCATCTTCGCGTGTATGTACTCAACGTGTGTGCACGTGTGTACATGTTCTACATTGCATTGTGCATGTGTACTATATATAGCGACTTTCGCCAACAATCAAATATAAACAAACCTCTTCTCGATTAAATAAAAGCACCTTAGACTACTCATTAATTGTTCGATAACACAAGTTTATTTTCTGCTTCAAACGCCCGCTTGCAGCTGATTTAAATAAGTAAAATTGTCTTATTACATTACATAACAGATTTCAGATTTCATGCAGCACCTAGACCTACATAATATATTTATAACTAACTCCAAGGAGCTCTAGCTGCCGCCTCAAGCGTCGGCGAAGCTACCTGGGGTTACTGTATAACGTAATCATAAGATCATCAACGTGACAAAAGCGAAAAAAAAAAAAGGGTCGGGTAGGGCAAAACATCGGGGCAAGCCAAATTTTGCCACCCAAATCTAATATGCATCTACATCAGTCTGCAGACTACAATGTATGCATTAAGAAACTGAAGAGGAATAAAAAAAATTAAATGCCCTTGGCCTTGGTATTTGGTTAACTCTGATTATTAATAGAAACATAACTTCTCATGAGTTTAACTTCCGAGTCTAATTCTAACGTTAAAGAAGAAGAGATCTACTTTTATTTTAATTAACCTAATTGATTCCACAATAATTAATCTAGACTATTCTAAGTAAACTAGAACTACATTTCCATTAATATAGTTGGATCTAAGTATGTAATGTAAACTTATGCATATTCACTTTTTACATAATAGCAGTGAAGGGATGTTCCTTTGTCTACCTGAGGAACTGTATATTTTGTCCGCTTTCTTTGTCTGTCATGTTCATAGTGTCTGTTTTTTAATGACATCTGCAGCCGAAATTTGTGCGCCTAGCTCCTTCTAAACCATCCCCTTGGGGTACCGGTGCACGGTGCCATCAGCCGCCGGAGAGTCTACTCTATATCAAATTGGCTATGCTCCGCCCGATGTCCACCTCCGTGTCGACGTCCAGAGCGAGTTGCGGCTTGATATTTACTCCCAAATTTGGCCCCCTCCCTCGCTGCCTTTTGGATCCGCCCCTGCCCCACCCGCGCGCTCTAGAATCCCGCGGATTTCCGCGGGTCCTGCTAGTCTTGTTATAATGAGAGGAATTACTGACATGTGCGTGGGTGAATGGTTCGGTCAAGCGGAACGATCACAAGTGCAAAGGTTAAACATAATGCTTCCTGAATGTCAATGGGAATTCCCACTCCCTAAAAAACATAGGCCTACTCATACAACTGCATTGCTGAATGAAACATTAGCATACGCCCCAGATGACTGAAATCAAATAGGCGCCGTTAGAAATACTTCATAACATAAGTTATAAAGAAGAAGTGTAAAGTAATTTCATAATGTTGTACCGGTAGGCTCTATTTACCATGAAATGCATTATGTTTCACATTTTTCAGTGCAATACTAGATCGGTACTAGATCCACATAAATATTTACAAAACATACAATACTTTTGAATGAGGAGGCCAATTAACTCACCGATGTGACTTTTTCTTCACAGGTCGTGTGCTTGAGTTGTCAACGATGGCTACTTCCTTGCAGCAGGCTGTCGATAAGAACCTCGAGTGTCCTGTCTGCCTGAGCTTCTTCAAGGACCCCAAGATCCTGACCTGCTCCCATACCTTCTGCAAGGGTTGTCTTGAGACTGTCCTAGAGTCTCATCGGAAGCTGTTATGTCCTACGTGCAGGGAGGAGACTTTGGTTCCCGGTGGAGACGTGGGTAGATTGCAATCAAACATAACAGTCAGATCTCTTGTTGAAGATGTGGAGACCCAGGGCCCTTCTAATCAAGAAGACAAATGTAAAAAACATCCGAACCAAGATGAAGACTGTTTTTGTTTTAACTGTCAAAAGTATGTCTGCTGCAAGTGTGCAATATCAGAGCATGCAAAGGATGCTCACACTATCCTTGAAGCAGGCGCCCATGAAAAGAATAACATTGAGGAACTTGCATCTAAAGCGAATGCAAAGATACGCAACGTTGACAACTATGTTAAATTCGTTGTAGACAAGCGTAAAAGGGTGCATAATGTACATGAAAAACTCAATGATGAAATAGACGATACTTTTGAGGAATCAGTACAGAAGTTGAGGAAAATAAGGACGGTGTTGAAAAATGAAGTCGGGCAAAAGCTAGGTAAACTTGAGACTTCATTGGGAGACATGGAGGAGTCAGGTCGTAAACAGATAGACGAGATTACAACAGCTCGGGACTTGGTTAAGAATGGTCTTCATATTCCTCTCCAGACAGAGGCTCTGACCTCACATAAAGCGAAGTGCCAAACACTGGAAGAACTTCTAAGCCGGATTGGGCCAGATGTGGAGCTGCCCAGAAGAACTGCTGAGGAAGGTGAAAGAATTGGCTTCAGGAGTCTGGGATTGGATGGACTCCAAATGGGCCAGCTAAGACAAAAGAAGTTCAAATGGGTTCTGCGCACAGAAGACCCCTTCCCTGATGGAAATATCACCATGACCGGAATGGCAATATCACCAAACAATGGGATGGCTGTTGGTTGTAGAAGGGGAGGAATAGTCATATATTCTTCTGAGGCCATCATACAAGATACCGTTCTGAAATCTGTTCAAGTTAATGCACTACACTTCATGCCTGATGGTGGATACGTCATACGAGACTCAAAGAACAAAATTGTCTTGTACACCGAGCTTCGTGAACAGGTTGATGTAACGTTTGAGACAATTGATGTTACGAAAGATGGATGGCTTGGTGGTCTCACTGTAGACAAGGATGGGCTGATCTTCATAGCTTACAATAGATGCAAGAAAATACAGGTATTTAAGCCAGAAGGTGGGAAGGCAATTAGAGAGATAAAGTGTAACGGATTTGAACCATGGCAAATGTCTGCGATGAAATCAAGTCAAGCCATTGTCGTTAAGAGTAGTTTTTCTACTGTACACGTGATCAACGATGTGTCTGGTGCTATCATTCATAGCATCAGCAAAGATGGTTATAGCTCTTACCCTGCTGTGTATCAGGATAGTTCAGTCATCATTGCATGGGTTCGGCGCGATCAGGGTCTGCTGAGCATCGTTCGATACACAAAAGATCTCAAATACATCAAAACCATTCTCACTGATTTCAAGATAATCAAACCAAATCGAGATTGGTTCTATTTACGGGCATTCAAGACGGGAGAGATTGCTTTCTGCACATCTAATAGAATGTACATCTTCCATGAGACGTGGGAGTAAATTTCAGTTTGCATTTGAAACTTGATGTTTCATCGAATTTTGGAACTTTAAAACTCCCGGATGCAATCCTTTCAGTACTCCTGCTTCGTAAACAAGCCTGCATTGTGAAAAGGTTGAGCAATATTTTCCAACACTTTGCCCAACGTTGTGCCAATAGTCAACCCAACCATCTATTGGGCAATATTTTGCCCAGTGGTATTGGTAAACGTAGGTATGTGCATAATTGTTCATATTTTGCCCAACAAGTGGTCTACCGTAGTCGGGCAGTTGAAGGGTCATATCTTTGCCCACAAATACGAAACAATTATGCAACCTTTTCACAGTGTGTACCTAAATGTAATGTAAATCAAAGAGTAGGTCTAGACTCCACTCTATTATAATGCTATCATAATGTTGGCCAATTTCATTATGCTGTTGGCAGTAGACAATGTAACGTTTACTCTTACGAAGTATCAAGATGTTGCTCTCATTATTGCAAATGGCGGTTATTTTATAGACTGATGTAGTTAGATAATCGAGGAGAAGAGGGTAGTACACCTTCTAATCCACGGAAAGCATACGTTGCAAATATAATAAACAGTCATACATTCCCGCTATTATGGGGGATGAGCAGCTTCTTCCAATTATATTTGTAATACTCATAAGATTCCCTAAGAGTTCATGGTAGTGGCAACGTAAGCAAAATATTGTTTTCAAAATACAATGTATCTGAAAATGTTTGTTTTTAAAATATGCAAGATACGTGGCAATCAATTCAATTTATATGTTGGTAATGATGGAGAAGGCATAATTCTATATACATATGTTTTTTGTTCTTTGTTTCAAGAACATTTTTGATAATGTAGGACATCATTTATTTTTGTCATAGTTGTTTACTGGAAAAATGCGTAAAAATTGTGAATTGTGTAAACGTTCTAAATGGCCTTTCTTTGTACAATCCCTAATTCCCGTACATTCCTCTATCTCTTTTTGCTTCATGTGCATTTATAATTCAGTCATTCATTCGGCTAGGTTTATTTAAAGAAAATTCCTTGTAAATCAGTCCAAAGACTGATGCATACACAATTTTCATAGTTTTATTGTTCAAAATTATACAAAGAATACAATATATTTAACCAAATTTGACTAGGAACAAAAAGATTGGGATAAGAAATTTTAAAAAAATTGTTAAACATGTTGCACCTCAAATTGAAAATAAAAACACCCCCCCCCCCCCCAAAAAAAAGGGATTTTAAAGACAGAGAAAGAAAAATGAGAATTGACTAGCTTGGAAAAACAACAGAGAGAAGAGAGGGAGACAGATGAGGGATCTGTTGAGAAAAGGTAAAAATTGAAGAGTGCCATTTCATTAGCTCATGTCTTGCATTTGAATCCTAATACAAGCAACAGAATATTTGAAATCCTTGAAATATTGGTTATGTATATATAGTTACGACTACATATATAAATACCTATACTATGTTCATAGGTTAACAGACTGAACATGACGGTAAAATAGAAACCAATGATTTAGCTTAAAACTATCATGTCTTAGGCCATTAAAAAAAATATACATGATTAGCGTCCCCGCCCGCTTCCTTTTTGGGGGCCGCCTCATATTTTTTTTTTATTTATTAGTTTTTATTTTTATTTTTATTTTTTTTTTTTAAATTTTTTTTTGAATTTTTTTTTTGAAAGAAAAAAAAACATGAAAAACACTGCTAAAATGGCTCTATTTCTGATTTAAAAAAAAAAAAAATTGTCGGCGGCCATCTTGAAAAAAAATAGCCCCGACTGTCAGGGAAAATGTACCGAGCGGCCATTTTGAGCGGCCATTTTGAAATAAAAATTAAAAAATAAAAAGGGACCCCTCCTTCCTATTTTTCGAAAAAACAGGACGCTAAACATGTTTTTTTTTTTTTTGGCCTTACATCGTCACACTATTCTGGCACCAAGGAATCAACCGCTTTATAAAGGGGAAAAAGAAATGTAATTTTAGTTTATAGTCCAAAGATGTGAAACTAACACAGATGTATGTTGAATTTCTTGCTCAATTTAAATTCAAATTACCCATTTAAGTATTAATTGTGTTAATGTTACATTGATATGCTTTATGTTTGACTAAGAAGTTTAGTGTAAATGTAAATTATTTGTCACATAATATAATGTATACAATGAACGAGATCTAGTGTACTTATTAAGAACTCATTTGTATCCTTTAACTGGAAAGGAAATCAATGTATTATATACTTTAGTTTCTAATGCAAGCTGTAGTTTATCTTATTAGTATGCATTAAAGTCTGTTCCCCCTTACTAGGTTTATGATTCTTTCATAGTAGAGTAATTAACTTTCTTTATTATATTTGTTAAGAGTATAGATACATCCCAATGTTATTCGCTATAAAAGCATGATGATTATTATGGAATTATGTCAGTTATCATCTTCCATTCAAATTATGTTACAAATTTCATGTTCGATGTCATTATATTTTCTTAAAGGGGATAGAAGAAATAAACTAGAGTTATGAATTTGATCACTGAAATGTCCGGTGTCATGATGTGAGGAAAAAAATCCAAAAGAAGTGAAAGAGCGAGTCATCAAAAGTATTGATTTTAGAGAATCCATGCAGGAGGTATATAGAAGCTTTTGTTGATGATATTCTTATAATATAATGCAGGCGCGGATCCAGGATTTTCCAATAGGGGGGGGGGGGGGGGGGCCGAAAATTTGAAAATTGCACAGACCGTTTTTTCAAGGTCATATTAGGAGCACCATACCGGTACAATTTTTGACATTTTCATCGGAGGGGGGGGGGGGGGGGGGGGGGGGGGGGGTGGGGGGGGGGGGGGCTATAGCCTCTTGCCCGCGGAAGCTTCGACCTTTTATTAATTATTAGAGAAAGAAGATTTGTTGTACCATTCTCGACTCTTATTACTTGACTGAATTCAGCCCCCCCCTCCCGCGCGAAGCACGGAAGCTTTGGCTTTTCATAGTTTCTTTCATTTCATCAGAAAGAAGATGATTCGTTCTATCGTCATCGACTCTTTATCCTTGTCTGAATTGAGTTTCCCCCGCGCGAAGCGCGGAAGCCTCGACGTTTCATTAAATTATTAGAGAAAGAAGACGATTCGTTGTACCGTTCTCGACTCTTAATCCTTGTCTGAATTCAGTTTTCCCCTGCCCGCGCGAAGCGCGGAAGCTTTGACGTTTCAATAAATTAAAAGGGAAAGGAGACGATTCTTTGTACCATTCTTGACTCTTAATCCTTGTTTGAATTCAGTTTCCCCTGCCCGCGCGTAGCGCGTAAACTTTGACGGTTTATTAAATTATTAGAGGAAGAAGACGAATCGTTTTACCGTTCTCGTCTCTTAATCCTTGTTTGAATTAAGTTTTCCCCCTCCCGAGCGATGCGCGGAAGCTTTGACATTTCATTAAATTATTAGAGAAAGAAGACGATTCGTAATTGTACCGTTCTCGACTTGTCAGAATTTTCAAAAATGTTTCTTTGTCTGTTTTTTTTTTCTCGTCCTATGTCCACTTACTGCCCCTACCGCCCCTGGCTACGCGCCTGCTTTAAAGGAAAATGAAACAATCATGATTGTGATAGCACACAATCAGGTTATTAGAAATGAAAGGGAAAAAAGATCTTTTACACCAACCATGGATAAATCACGGCCGGGAGCGTCATAGTTTTGTGTTATCGGGCGAGGGCCGGGGCGTAGCGACCAAGCGAGATTTTGCAATGTTGAATGCTGAAATTATGCATTCTAGAAAATCCCTAAGCGTAATATGTACGTTCTTTCCGCTATATTTCTTTCTAGCTATTTTTCTAAATTTCCTGGAGGACGTGTCCCCTATCGGGCCAGGATTGCCGCCCCTGTCCATGATTACTACCAACATGAGTTCAAATAGAAGTACCAGCGAGTTGGTATGAGCTTAATCCAAAATAATGAAGGGCAAAATAAGTGTCGTGAAGCGGCCCTACCGTTAATTTAAAATTTGACTGTTGAGTATATAACTTCTATTTTAAAAGACATCCATAACTTTTTGATTGTGCCCTTTTCAAATTTCTCACTAAAGAGGGAATGACCGCAGGGGCTGTTCTATTCAATAACGTTTGCCAAGCCTTCTGGAATGACCCCAAATCTCCCGATTACAGTTTCCCCCATTCGTCGTTACTGTCACTTAGCGCCATTCATAGTCTTTCCCCCTTTCTCACCCGACTTTTCTTTCCCCCCCCCCCCCACCCCACCCACTCAGTGTTATCTAGGGTACGCACATGTATGTTCCCTCTCTTTGAAAGCACCCCTCTATCTCCGGTGTGTAAAGTCAGTGCGGGCCGGATCTTTGTGTATTACGTGCCGGACTTTGTTGTGTGAAAAGTAACTCTTTATCGGAATTTTGGGAACATAAATTCGGTCCCTCCGTCCCCGGAGTGGGAGGGAGGGGGGGGGGGGGGGGGGGGGGAGCTTTCTTCTTTATCTTTTCTCTTCTTTCCTTTCTCTTCTCCTTTCTTTTCTCTTCTCCTTTTTTTTCCTCCTCTTCTCCTTTCCCTTTTTCTCTTCTTTTCTTCCTTTTTTTCCTCCTTTTTTGCGCCGCCAATAGGGGGGGGGGGGGGGGCGCGGCCGTTTCGGCCCCCCTGGATCCGCCACTGATAATGTCAGCGGGTATAACGGCAAGCGTGAATGTCAGCCATCAGGAAGAAGAGGGGAGAGGGTAGGGGATAAGTCCAAAGAGTTAGAGAGGAGGGAGGAAAGGAAGGGCGAGGGTTAGAGGTATATTGTGTGTTTTAATAAAATAAAAACTCATGATTTCAATCCTGTATAATAATATGTTAAAAATATTATTTTGTTGTTGTTGAAGTATTCAGTTTTGTTCTGGAAAAAAAGCGATGCTGAATTTAGATTTTGGGATGAAAATAACTGGAGTTTTGAGAAGCAAATTCAATAAATACAAAAAGTAAAGACTCTCCTTCAAATTATCTGTCAAACTCTCTTCAGCATTATTTGCATATAACGACATACAGTCTCGTTTCTGACTTTTCATCAAATATGGAGGGCCTTTAAACTCAATCTACTTGCTTTTCGTTCGTCATTGACAAAAGGATATTTACTTTTTCTACTCTCGCCAAAATTTTACAGGGAGTCGCTTATTTTGATATCAGATATTAAACTCATCTAATACTAACAGAAAGCAGAAAATTCACAGAAGCACACTTTGAAACTTTGAACGAAATCGGACAAAAAAGTTATGCATTAGTAAAAGTTGCATAGTAAGGGAACTTCAAATTGGCTAAATAGGTTATATCACTGTGATGTAGTGCCGGACGACTTCCCATTTTGCTCCAACAAACGAACTATCTAAAATGTTATGTGGG